GGAGAGCAGTCGTTTTTGGTCTCGGTTCAGGTGTCGGTCCTTCACAATAAAACCTTTTGGCTCTGGGAGCGGGGCTGAGACCGTCTCACCCATGTCTAATAATGACAAATAGCGTTTGTATTTATAAATAAGGTCAGTTATTTACGAAAAAAGAATCAGAATTAAGAGTTGTATGATCGGAGAGATTTCCTGTGAAAATTATTTATACCCAAATAGTTAAAAATGTATACAGATGATGTAAAATATACAAATTACGAAATATTATATACAGAATATGTACACTAACGAGGGAACCTCTTGAGGTTATAAATCGCTTTTGAACTCGGACTACTTGTATCTTGTAGACCTCAGTGAGTAGTGAAATACCCTAAGTTGGTTCATCCGCATGGTGCTTTGTTGCTGAGATATTGAATTGATTTTGCTCGAAATTCAAGCTCTATAGGCAAAAACTGACTAAAAATTCAATATCTCAGCAACGAAGCACCATGGGAATGAACCAACTTAGGGTATTTCACTACTCACTGAGGTCTACAAGATACAAGTAGTCCGAGTTCAAAAGCGATTTATAACCTCAAGAGGTTCCCTCATAAGTGTAATTTGTTAATTTAGAAGAGAATGAGCTAGCTATAAGAGAAGTATAAGTAGATTATGTTATCATATAAAATTCAGACAAAATTTGTCTCAGATAGATCAGTCTATTATAAGTGATCACTTTTACGTCGTGTTCGAATAAATGAAACTTTAAGAGACTTATAATTCGGAACAAAGTGGTAGTGAGAGATAATCTATATAAAACAGGAATAAAAATGGTTAAACGGCTGCTATTATCCATAGACAGCATCTTCTTGAAATAGAGCTATTGATAATCAATGAATAAGAATGTCAAACGATGAACAATACTACTCATCCATTACCATTATATTCAACATTGTATAACGAAACATTCATGTCTTTATAATCTACGCAATAGTTCAGCTAGATGAAACTTCGATGTTCTCTTCTTTCTAAGCATACTATAGAGACACAGATACAAGCAAGAAATGGAGAAAAGAACAAATTTTATCATTTTATCCAAACGAAAGATTGCTCTCACTATGAAATTAGTGTATATTCTGGCAACTTCCCAGATTAAAAAGTTAACAAATTTGAAGGTGCCTCCCTCCAGTTTTTATGACAATCTGAAGTACACAAGTTGTACTGTATGCCGACCTGTTTTTTAGAAAAGGGTGCAGTCTAGTTTTTGAGATTCAGAGTTGCCCATATTGGAGCTGAACATGGGACGAAAATGTTCGAGGCTCAATGCTTAACAGCCCAAAAAATTCAATCACTCATCGAAATACCATGTTGTATATATACGTCACTTGGACTCATAGGGTTAACCACATTCTAGTTCATTTTACTTTAGGTTGTAAAGTTGACGTAATAAACGATAATTCCATAGTGAGTGCTGTCAAGTTATATGCATAATTCTATGAAAATAATTTCATTCGTTTCTTACTGCCTTCTCTGTTATATCTATTTATATAACCGTACCGAAGGAAACGATTAAGAAGAAAAAAAATGACATCAAGCAAGAAAATGAGAAAAGAAGAAAGTTATATTTTCCAGCAAATGTTCGCTGCACTTATTATGCGACTGCTATATATTCTGTCAACTTGACAGACTAAGCTGAAATCAACTAGAACGTACCCCTCCCCGTTTTCTATGTCAGTTTGAAGTACACGAGTTGTATTGTATACCCAGCTCTTTTTTAGAAAAGGCTACGGTATAGTTTTTGAGATTCAGAGGTGTCAAACAATATCTGAGCTGAATTTGACAACAAGATATACTTTTTATGCCGATTAACAAGCGCAATAAATTCTTAAAAGATACGCATTAAAAAGCATCAAAGTTTCATCTAACTGAACTAGTACGTGGATTATATAGACATGAATGCTTCGTTATACAATGATGAATATAACGGTAATGGATGAGTAGTTATTATTCATCATTTAACACCCTTATTTACTGATTATTAATAGCTGTTTCGAGAAGATACTGTCTATGGATAATAGCAGCCTTATAACTAAAAAACTAAACGGTACCTTTTTCTAAAAAATAGCATGGTATAGGGTACAAGTTGTGTACCACAAACTGGCAGAAAAACTGGAGAGGGGTTCCTTCAGATTTGTTAACTTTTTAATCTGGGAAGTTGCAAGAATAAACACTAATTTCATAGTGAGTAGAATCCTTCTTTTCGATAAAACGATAAAATTTGTTCTTTTCTCCATTTCTTGCTTTATATTTGTCTCTATAGTGTGCACAGAAAGAAAAAAGCGTCAAAGCAAAAAACATAAAAGAGAATGGGAGAGAAGCGACATTGTTGATATCTACTGTTGAATATAGTGTTTTTGGATTTTATTTTTTTGGATTAAAAACAAATGGTAAGCCATATTATTTATCTTTATTTGCCAAGCTCTATACGAGATTCTGACATTTAAGCTGTCCAGGTTTTCTAGAAGACCTAATTGCAAAAAGTGCCTTGCAGTGACACCGCTGCCAACTCGACGAAATTATCCGATCAGACTGCTGGTTTACAGCTCAAGTACAAAAGACGCGTCTAAAATCTATTCTGATACCTAGACTTACTTGGGAATTGGATTTCTTAAAGGCTTCCATCAGTATTGAATAAAGTCTTACACAACCAATTGTAAAGCACACTGGTATTTTTGATTTGATCAAAAACTATTCAGAAATAACTTAACTCTTCAAGGTCTGCTTCCCTGAGGCATTTCACTTTTCACGTAGCAAACTGATGCTATGCAGCATTTAGTTTGAAATGCGTAAGGAATACATTGATGCACGAATAAAAGGTCGAAATAGTGTGTTTTGCGAAAAATTCTAATGACACATCTGTTCTCCGAAGGAGAAGGAAGTGTGAAGTTTATTTTTATATAACGAAATTTATACCTGCAGAAAAATGTGCGAAATTTAATTTTTGATATTTTTCATTCCCAACTCGCACATCTAGAATATCTCCCTGCCGAGAAACGTAGTAATTACATGTCTTTTACCCTCGAATATGAATATGTCGCTGATTTATGTTTATAAACTGCAAAATCCTCGAGGGATCCCTACAGGTACTCTTTGAAATTCGCCAAGTATTTTTCATGAATAATTTCCAACCGTACAGTGTATGCCTATATACCATTAAAAAGAAAGGAAAACATCTGATTGTGTATTTATTTTACTTATTTTGAAATGAACCGTGTACGGAGTATGGCTGTTCTGCTGCTTCGATTTTAGCAAGACAACCGTCATCGCGACAGAAGGAAAAAGAATTTTTGTTTTTTATCAAATTAGTTACGTTTTCTTAGATCAGTGTCGAATATAACGACTTACAGAGAACACACGATGGTTGGCAGTAGTAATGTCGAAAGGAAAAATGTCGAAAACTATCAGTATCGAAGGTAAAAATGTCGAAGGAGATATATCGAAGCTGAATGATATCGAAGTGAGAAAATACCGAAACGAAAAAATGTCGAAGTGAAAAAATCTCAAGAAGCTCTTTAAAAACTTCCGACACATCTTTGATTTTTAGTGTAATATTTTTTTTAACATAATTGGTTTCATTTATTGCTCGTTGTTTGACATTTTCACGAAATTCACGTACTTTAGTTTTTTCTTTCTCGGGAAGATGAGTGATCATCAATCATTTTAATCAATTGATCATGCAAATCTGTATAAATTTTTGGTGAACATTCAATAAGTGTACATATTCAATATTTGATAGTACAGAGGCTTAGAGTCTGCGTTTACTAGTGACATCACTTTTTCGATACTTTTCCGTTTCGACATTGTTCCTCTCCTACATTTATCCATTCTACATTATTCCTATTCAATATTTAGTTTTCGACATTTTTTCCTTTGATATTTTTACATTCGATATTTTTCTTTTCGATATTTCTACGGCACACCACTAGTATTTCCAATCGTGCATTTTCAGATTCAAATGATCGTATATAATGAAAATCACTTCTTACATAGACCGCACATCCACCACCGTGACGATCTCGATCCAGGCGCATTGAAGAATAATAGTGAAGGAAATTGATATCCCTACCTAAAGTACTATGATCGAGCCAAGTCTCCGTTAAACACAAAACCACAGGATAAGCAAGAGACAAATAGGCACTACCCCAGCAGACAAACTTTTTCGAAAACGCGTTTAAGCGCACAAAAAAAGACGAAAAATCTAGAAAGGTGGGCGTGTTTGGATGACAATCAGGGTTCCCGACTGTGAGCAAAAAACGCCCATTTTTCGCCCTTCTGGTGCGTTTTCAGCCAAAAACGCGTGTAAATGCATAAAAAAACGAGAAAAAGTGGTCGTTTTTCTCATAGTCGTTACCAGTGACGGGATCATAATTAGGGTTCTCGGGTATTCAAAAAACGACCACTTTTTTTATGCATTTACACGCGTTTTGGGCTGAAAACGCGTGTAAACGCACCACTATTGTTTTAAAAAATGAGACATAAAGACCTCCAAAAGCTTGTTTTTCTTAAACTTGGAAATGGTGATGGACCAACAAAAATTTTCCCTGAATTGAATGGTGCGATTTCACTTCGAACAATCCCATCAATAACAACGGGGCTCTTGAACTGCCGAAATCGCCTGGACGTGAACGTACTGCACGATCAAAATCAAACATATAAAAAGTTAAACAACGCTTGGATCGGAAAAAACGGGTATCATCAAGAAAATTGAGCAAAGAATTGGATATTTCAAGGGCAAGCGTCAGACGAATATTACGCCAAGATCTCAGTTGTTTTGCCTACAAAATGATTACTGAACCAGCAATCATTGCTATTCAGAAAAGGAAAAGAATTCAATTTGCAATTTGGTTAAAAAATAATTTCAAAACAATGATACTAAATAATGACACTCATTCTATATTTTTCTTCATGATAGTAAGACGTATACTTTAGTCTTTCTTTCCTCTGAATACGCAGTTGTTTGTGTTATGCAAAATTTAAATCATGGGCCACCATCACCGTTACAATCTTCTGTTATTAAAAGAGCAAAATCTCTTGACAATACACGTGATAGTAACGAAATGACAGATAATAATTTATCACAAATTATAAAAGATACGTTCTCTACTCCTATATTCATCGAACAATTATATAATTCCTTGGTTAATTCTGACGTATTTTTTAAAGCGATTGAAACTGTAGTTATATCTACTTGTAAACAACAACAAGAGCAAATTAATGGATTAACTGTTGAATTAGATAGACCCAAATCTGAAGAAAAAGTGTCATCTCACTTAAATGATTTAGAACAGTATGGTAAACGTAAAGACCTGCTTATCTATGGTATTCCAATGAAAAAGGATGAAAATTGATATGCAACAGTAATGGAATTAGGAAATGCTTTAGGTGTTAAATTAAACAGAAACAACTTCTCTGCAATTCATCGATTACCAGCAAAAACAACAGGTGATAAATTAAAGTCAACAGTTATCGTAAGTTTTGTACGTATTAATGATCGTAATAAATTCTATCTATCACATAAACAACTTCGACAACAGGAAAAATTCAAAAATATTATTGTTAATGAATATTTAACACGGTACAACAATCAATTATATTTTTATGCAAAACAAAAGTTAGATAAAAAGAGAGTATTCACACGAAACGGTAATATTTATCTATTTATACCAACGAGAAGTTACTTTAATTATAGAAAGAAGTTACTTTAATTATAGAAAACCACACAAGGAAGCAAAATGAGTCGACAAAATTGAAATTCTAACTCTGACTAAAAATAAGTAGGCAAAATTAGAAGAGAGAATGTACGTGTTAGGTAATTTCAACGTTTCACATTGTCTTTTAATAAAAATGTCTATCACTACTTGTTCTTCTGCTACTACTCCTACTTCGTCTTCGGATTTTCTCGTTGGTATAAATAGATAAATATTACCGTTTCGTGTGAATACTCTCTTTTT